CCTAAATCCCGAAGCCTTTTAGCCTGACGCCCTAGACTAGGATCATAAACCCCTGAACCTTCAAGCCCTTAAGCCTCAAAATCCTTTGACTCTTCACCTGCCCCTTTCCCATTCAGGAATTTTGTTGGGCGTACCTAAGCCCCAAACCCGAACCTCTAAACCCCGAGCTCTAAACCCTACTTGAAGGATCAATTGCCAGCAGCTGCGAGACATGGGGTGCCGGTTGACGGAGGAAGGATTACCTTTCGCCGGCGTGGATGGGTTCAAGCCACAGTCTTGGAGCCAGAGGCTTTCGCTGCAACTACCCGAATTTGGGCAGCGGGTAGCTGTCTGGAGAGTCGGGTGCTTCGAGTCCAGCAAGAGCCGTCGCTCCTGATCTGGGGATCACCCCACATCAATGCCTCATGCTCAGTGCCTGTTCGGTTTTTGTGGTGTGTGCCTGCTACTTGCTGTGCAGCTGGTAGGTCTGTGATGAAGATGATGTGAGCAGTGGACCTCGTGGCGAAAATACGTGGTTTAAAACGTGTGCCGTTGCATCGATGATGTGGAAAGTGTTCCGACCTCAGGTTGCTGCATCCCAAATACGAGATTGATTGCGTGTGCCAAGCACCCAGGCCCAATGGGTCATGCATCATGCTCTACCCGGGCAAGTATCGAGTTGAGTACCACAGGTGCCATGGCAAACATTTGCTGAGAAGCAAGAAGAGTTAAAGCAGGAGCTCTCACTTGCTAAGGCCTCCGTCGAACCACATCCTCGTCGTCGGCGTATGTGAAGCAGGACGGCATCAAATCCTTGTAAACACTGCTGAGACAAGAAACCGCATGAGCCCGCTTGCCCAGGCGAATACGAGCCTCTGCAGAGCGTGCAGACTGGCGTGCAGGCCATAAACACGGCAAGCGAGCCTTTATGTGCAGCTGTGGCCCTTCACGCCTCGCATCTGTCGTGCCTGTCCTGGTCCAGGCGGGGGTGGGGTGATGCATGCCTTTGAGTTTCAGTGACATGTCAAAAAAGTGCCGGAGGACGGTCAGCGCATCGATGCCCTCGCTACTGTTTCTAATTAGGCTTCTAAGAGCCGTCGCAGCCGAGGCCATGCATGTTTGTGTGAGTCTGTGTGTGTGTGTGTGTGTGTGTGCCAAGTCGTGCACTTTGTCAGGATGGGATCGCCATTTCGCTCGGCACCTACATTGGAAACTTCGAGGTCGCATTGGGCAGGCACACCTGCATGCAGCCTTTTATTTCATCTATATATGTGCCAGTGGCAGGTACATGATGCGGCAGTGGCTCCTGGCTCACTGAATGAGGGCCTCTTTGTGGCTTCATATAGGACTATTGACCGTGTTTGGTAGAACAAGATCTTGCCTTTTGCCTGCCTGTACTGCCATCATGGACCTGTTGTGCAAGTCTCATTGGTGTTCTCGTCGGCCAGAAGAAGAAGGAGGAGACGGTCTTCGCGTCTTCCTGTGGTGCCATCGCCATCGACCTAGCCACGTGATCTCGGTGTCCTCTGATGGCAAAATCTGTATGCTGTCCAAAGCTGTCAACGAACACAGCACCGTCCGATCCGAGTGGCACGGCAGCTGCCCCTCGATACCAACGAGCAAGAGAAGAAGATGTCGGTGCAGCTTGATTGGCTTGGACAGGAAGACAAGCTTCGCGGCATCGACCTGGATTGGGACGAGTCCCTGGCGGCTACGTCACTGCGGAAAAGCAGATCTTCGTGAAGCCCATCGAGCGCTTGACTGCCAATCCGGCAAAGGCTCTCAGCGCCTGCGGTGCCTGCATGCCGTTCGAGTGGCAGGACGGAGCTCGACGCCACCTGCTCTTGCTGAATATGCTGACGGAGCAAGTGAACTTCTTTTCCTACGCCAACGAGCACCCCGGCGACATCGTCTCCTCTGGCTGGCACGGCAAGGGATCTTTCGGTGACAACTACGACCGATTGCATCTGGCCTTGCATTGGCAGGGCGATGACGGCAAGCTGCGCCAAATCACGATGATGTGGGACAAGGCTCTGAGCCTCTATGTGGACCTGCGCAGGGTGGCCAGGCCGCTGCTGGGAGCCCCTGCAGATTTGTGATATGGGCTTTGCGCTTTGAGTCATCGTGCTGTGCCAGAAAAAAAGTGGTGCGCTGACAAGTTGTGCTGAGAAGTTGTGCTCAGAAGTTGTGCATGTCTAGGGCCCTGCATGTCTAGGTTTGAAAACACACCGTTCTAGCGCCAGTCTCTGGGCTCATTGCATTCAGTGCTAGTAGATCAGTGAAATCTTGTAAGGCCGGCGTCCACCCCTGGTTCTTTGTATACAGTATATGGAGACTGTAACATTATAACGCCGGCGTCCACCCCTGGTGCTTTGTATACGGTATATGGAGACTGTAACATTGTAACGCCGGCGTCCACCCCTGGTTCTTCGAAATACGGTACACGGAGCCTGTGATATTGTAACGCTGGGATCCACCTTGCACTCTGGACTCTGTATACAGTATGTAGAGCCTGTAACATTGTAACGCCGGCGTCCACCCCTGGTTCTTTGTATACAGTACATGGAGATTGTAACAATGTAACGCCGGCGTCCACCCCTGGTGCTCTGTATACAGCATATGGAGCCTGTAACATTGTAACGCTGGCGTCCACCCCTGCTCTCGGTATACCGTATATGAAGACTGTAACATTGTAACGCCGGCGCCACCCCTGGGTCTCTGTATACAGTATATGGAGACTGTAACATTGTAACGCCGGCGTCCACCCCCGGTTCTTTGTATACAGTATATGGAGCCTGTAACATTATAACGCCGGCGTCCACCCTTGGTGCTTTGCATACGGTATATGGAGACTGTAACATTGTAGCGCCGGCGTCCACCCCTGGCTCTTCGAAATACAGTATATGGAGCCTGTGATATTGTAACGCTGGGATCCACCCCGGCACTCTGTATACAGTATGTGGAGCCTGTAACATTGTAACGCCGGCGTCCACCCCTGGTTTTTTGTGTACGGTATATGGAGACTGTAACATTGTAACGCCGGCGTCCACCCCTGGTTCTTTGTATACAGCGCATATGGAGCCTGTAACCCTGTAACGCCGACTGTAACATTGTAACGCCGACGTCCACCCCTGGTTCCGTGTATACAGTAAATGGAGACTGTAACATTGTAACGCCGGCGTCCATGACTTCCGCGCAAGGATGAAGCTCGGAACGGTCGGAACGCTCCAGAGGGAGGCGTAGCTTAGTTTGGATGCCGTTTCGGGGACGTTGCCGTTCTCGCCGAACAGCTGCGGAAGCCTATGCGAGCGACCCGGACGCTCCCGCGATGCTGCCACTTTGAACGATCCCGTTTGAATGGACAGGGGGAGCGTGACGTGGGATGAGTTCATGGAACACTACGAGGCCTGGCTCGGCTTTTTCCAGATTGCAAGCGTACGCCCGATCTCATGTCAGGAATGATGGGTTTGCGTGATGCTGCAGGACATGCTTGCATGGCTTTGCATCCTACGACGTTTTCAGTGCTGTTGTGCTCTTCGGGCTAGGAGCGATTTCTTCCGAGACTTGAACTTACTTCCGGACTTGGAGCCGGCTACCGCCTTGGCAGCTAGTCATGGAGTCACGAGCATGCGGCGAGTCACGGAGTGCACCGCAGGCTTCTACGGAACAGATGGCGGACCTTGTTACAGCAGCTTGCGACAGTGGGTCTCGAACCAAAAACAAGACGATGCTCGACCACTTGCATCACTGCACCAACAGTTCAGTTCTGTCTGGAGCAGGTCCTGCGATGCGCGCTCCTGAACACGAGACACCTCGAAGATAATCGGGACTGAAGCAGGCCGCAGCCGTGCCGGCCCGCGCGATCGTTCTGCATCGCTAAGTGCTTGCATACTTCGCTCGCCGTCGCCATCGATCATGCGACCTTTGGATGCAAATAACATGTCGTCGCTGGAGCGACGCTATTCGTGGGCACAAGGCCGGGGGCAAGAGAGAGAGAGATAGAGAGACGTAGAAGGCTGCTCTTCTTATAAATACGGTATCTATACGTACAACCACCAATTAGGATACTTATAACCTTACTTACTAAGTCCCCTGATCCTCCAAGTAGACCCTAAACACTAAACCCTATAGATCCCTTGAAGGAACCCTCTAGATCCCTTGGAGGAGCCCTTTAAGAACCCCTACCTACGTCCTCTATCCTTGAGGGAGCCCTTATAGTCTCTGGAGCCAGGCCTCGCGGCGCTTTACCGAGCTGACGAGACGGGGTGCTGTGTTTCCGGTGGAGGAACTGCAGACCGGTTTGGGGTTTAGGGCTTAGGGTTTAGGGTTTGGGGTTTCGGGCTTAGGGGTTCGGTACAGGTTTAAGGTTTAATGCTTTTAGGGCTTCGGGCATTATAGGGATCGAATATTCCTCAGGGTTCATTATGATGGACCCCCCAAGCCCTATTCTAACGATTAAGGCCCATCTAGCACACGATTGAGGTTTAAGTTTTTTGTGCTTTAGAGCGTAGGGATTAGAGAAGGGTTGGGAGAGAGTGTTTCGGGTTCCGGAGGCAGGGTTTGGTTCGGGTTCAGGGTGCGGGTCCTAGGGCTTTAAGATGATTGATACATATATATGTGCACCCACACACACACACGGACACGTGTACGTATATGGGTGTGCAATTGAAGGGTTCGTGGCTTCACGTGCTTGGGTGGTGGCTTTCAATCTTAGAAGCTCTAAGCACCCTCTTAGTACTTGGAGATCATGGGACTTAGCAAGCAAGGCTATAGGTCCCCTAAGTGCGGTTATAACGAATTATATGTATAGTTACCTAATTTATAACCCTAGTTACCATCTCCCATGATCCATTAAGTAGCCTTTATGGATTCCTCTGAAGGGGCCCTTTTAGATCTCTTGCAGGAGCCCTTTATCCTTTAGCGGAACCCTTGTAGATCCCTTTGAAGGAGCCCTTATAGATCCCTTTAAAAGGAACGCTTACAGATCCTTTCAAAAGAACACTCAGATACAACTACCCAACATGCAGGAGTTGGTGGAAGCCTTCGAAGCCAACATCAGCCGCGAGTCCATTCGCAACATCGTCTCAGAGATGTTCAGCACTTGCCATGCTGAGGCCCTTAAGCTGACATATGCCTTGGAATTTCGGGTTTAGGGTTTACCTGTACCCGAAATGACCTGCATTTTTAAGGTTCCTGATTGTCGTTTTTATTTCTGGTTCCTTAGAAAGGTAGGTATTTTGGGCCACAGCTTAGCCGTGCGGAGGTCGGTAAGATGAAGTCTGAGGTTGTGGGATTGAGGGTTTCAAGCCGCAGCACACGGTTGATGATCGCAATCCTGACTAGCCCTCAGCATCCAACCCTACACGGGAAATTCCAACCATTCAGTGAACCCAAGACAGGCCCTAAACCCAACAGGCTTGACATGTTCAAGCCCACGTCAAGCCTACTCGTACCCCAAAAGTATGTAGAACAATAGCCTTTGATAGGTTTTGGGCCATTGTTTTACCTACTTTTGGGGGTCTAGGTAGAGCCTAAATCCTGAAAGGCTCCAAGCCCTCACAGACCTCACAGTTCAACCCTCTAAGGGATTTGCTTTTTGGGTTTAAGGGTGTTTAGGGCTTCGGGCTTTTAGAGTTTGGGGTTCGGGGCTTAGGGTTACAGTTCGACATAGAGTTTATCAAAAAGACCTCAACTAAGGAATATACTTGAAACCCTAGTGGGATACTCCTCCGTTTGACTTCAAGTAATACCGGGATAGTTAGACCAGGTCCGGGGGCTGTTATATCTATAATGAGGAATCCGAAGGAATAGTACTGGTAAGTAGCCCCCCATACGGGGTATCCCTTAAAGGGCCCCGATTATAGAACCCTTTTGTCCCCGTAAAGGGACCTTGTGGTAGAACCCTGCAGTACCCTTTAAGGGCTTCTTGAGAAGCCTGTAGCACATCCGCCCTGACCCTAGACCCTAAACCCTAAACACTAAAGCCTAAACTTTAAACCTTAAACCCTAAAAACCTTAAAGCCCTAAACCCTAAACCCTACCCTTTTAACCCCAAGCCATATCTCCTTGAAGGGCTTCGTGAAACCGAAGCTCTTACGGATGCCTCTTTTCATTTTGCCGAGGCCCTAGTCATGGGCAACGAGACGGCGCAGGAGTTTGTTGTGCTTTGCTGGATTTTTCCGAAGATTGCTTGGGGCAAGCCTTGGTTATTGAGCGGGTTTGGATGCTTTCGCAGGAGTATTCATTGAACGGCATGGTGGTCTAGGGTTTGGGGCTTAGGGTGTCGGGTTGAGGAAGCCTGATATAGAGTGCCGAATAGTAGGAATCTGTTAAGGGCTCTAAAGTAGTACGGTTTCGATACAGGTTTCTGTTTTGGGGGGTTCAGGGTTGATTGCTTAACAACATCATTCCTCAATCTTCCTATTATCGTGACATAGAACGTACCTCCAGACCCTCTTCTAATTCTTAATTCTACGCTGCGAATCCCCGGGCCCGAAACCCTATCTTCACACCTACTACTTCGTGGCCCTGACAGCGTTTTCATCACCATGCCCTGAAGAGCGTGCGCACAGCCGTTCCTACCCTTGCTTGAAATTGCCTGTTGAGCACCCCAAGCAGCTCCCATACACCAAGCTTGCTGCTGAGCTTGCTGAACCAGAACCCCAAATCCTGAACCCTAAACCCTCCATGCCTAAATCCTAGGTTCTGAACCTTAAACCCTAAACCCCCTAAACCCAAAAAGGCCCTCAACAAAAAACATCCTAAACCCCCCTAAATCCGAAATCTCAAACCCCTCTCCAGTCGGTCTTGGGCGCAAGAAAGGACGCGCTGGACTTAGTCAAGAAGCTTGAGACCAGCCTCGGCCTGAAGTGCTGGGAGCCTCAGTTTTCTTCCTTCGGAGTGTTTTGTTATTTAAAGAAACCGCTAAAATTTGAATTTTTGCTAGGCGTCTTAGTTCAGTGTAGTAACTTTCTTCGAGGATTGGGTTGTCGGATTTCGGGGATTAAGGTCTTGGGTTGAGGATTTAAGACGTAGGGTTCCAGGTTTCGGGCTTCAGGTTTGTAGGTTTTCGGGCTTAGGGTATTTAGGATCCCCGGTTCAGGGTTTCGGGGTCAGGATGTAGGGTTTAGGGACTCGTTGTGCATTTGCCATAGGCATGTTCAGGAGACATCCATGTCTTGATGTCAGAGTTGAGCAGAAGCTACATGACGCCAAAGGCTGTTGTACCGTAGCTGTGAGATCTCAGGACTTAGTTGCATGCTTGGAAAACGAAGTGAGCCCCATTGCTGATTTGTTCTTTTAGCTGGTAGCGGAGCACCCTGGACGGTCCCGGGTGCGATGATGCTGCCGTGTAGTCTAGGTCATTGGATGGCCCTTTTGCTCGGCCTGCAGGTCGCCTGTGCAGTTGACGATCCTGTGCCTAGGGCGAGGATTGTCAACGTCACAGGTGCTGCAGCCAACCGGACAGTGCCCACTTGGACTGTGGAGCCTCCCCGACTTCTTTCCTCGTCGGACAAGGTCCTTCCGAGAATGACGCTGAAGTTGTGGACATCTCCTCAGGTTTTGGGCTTTGTCGGAGTTTTTATATGCATGACGGCAGCAGTGATCTTTATGTTTCAGCCGCAAGCCACAGGTACAGCAAGCTTGCGACTGCCCCCACGGTGGGAGCCAGGCCTCGAGAGCTCATTGCCTTTCCGAGTGTGGATGCAAGATCTGATGTTGTGGACAATTGGAACGGACCTTCAACCACATCAACAGTGTGCAGCAATCATTCAACAGCTTGGCGGAGCAGCGCGAGAATTAGCTCGCAACCTAACCCCTGCTGAGGTATATCACGGCGGAATTGTGAACGGAGTTCAACTTGATCCGGTCAGCTATCTTCTTCATGGTTTATCAGCCAGGTTTGGCCCTTTAGATGAGGAAAGCCGTTTGAGGGCCACTCAGGACCTGCTCTCCTTCTCACGCCGTCAAGGCGAGACTGTCGACACTCTTATCTCCAGATTTGAACTGGTCCGGTCACGCGCCCGGAATGAAGGAGGCGGAGTACTATCAGTGGAGACGGCTGCATTGATTCTACTGCGCGCATGTGGTGTTTCCTCAGATCAGTTCCAGACGCTTACGCAGCCGTTTGGCCTGAGGTTGCCAAACAACGATGCTGAATTCGCCCAGATGGGACACCATTTGAGGAGGATGGGCCACATCGTTGAGCGCTTTCCCAACAATATCGCTTCAGGTCTGCGAGGCTCAACTGGCCAAGCTCAGGCTTTCTTGGCAGAGGCGGACACTGGTTCTTCAAGATCTGCTGATGGATGGCAGGGTGAGTCGGTGCCAACTTCAGGGACATGGGGTGTAGCGCCTGATATGACAGATTGGGCATTTCATGCTGACCCATCAGCTGATTCTGACACCGACTCTGCTACTTCTTCAGATAATGATGAGCCAATGCAAACTACAGATCTGCAGGGAATGTCTGTCCCACAGATGGACGAGTACCTGTTTGGCCAGTATCAAGCAGCAAAGAAGCGGTGGAGACGCTTCACGGGTAAGCCTGTGCGGTCGCTGCGCAGAGTCTTGAAGAGAAAGGGCAAAGGCAAAGGAAAGGGATTCCGAGGTAGCTACTTGAATTTGGATGGGCTGTTGCAGCAGTCCAGCTACTTCAAGGGCAAAGGTAAGGGTGGTAAGTCTTCGGGGAAAGGGTTTGGCCGCAAGACGAATCCTTGTGGTAGGGATGGTGAGCCGCTGAAGTGCAGCGTGTGCGGCTCAGCCTACCACCTTAGAGCTAAGTGCCCTAGATCCACACCCTCCGATAACCCCGGTTCTAGTGCCCAGGCTGCTGCCGGCAGCCAAGGTCCCCGAACAACCTTTGTAGTGGAACCAACCTCTTCCCTGCACTTTGCAACAGTCGATGACGGCAGCTGGGATAACATCACCACGCCGCGATCCCATATGTCTGTTCCGAACGCTTCAGCCCCTCAGGCTACGCGAGATCCATCCACTCAGCAGGTTCCCACTGAAGCCCGTGCTCCTGAAGTGCACGAGTTGTCACCGGATCCCTGGACTGTGGACCCCGATCCTTGGACGCAGTGGCTGAGTGAGAATGCAGCAAGTGCACCACCGCCAGCTGTGCAAGTGCCGACGACTTGGGATTTTCCTGGGATGGGGAGTGTTGGTGTCCGTGAGCCGTTCAGTCAAGCTGTGGGCTTGACTCGAGAACCCCCGGCAAGCGCTGCGCAAACGGTCTCTGGACCGCCACCTCTGCCAATGTGGTTGTATGAGACCCATCAAGCTGTGCATCTTGCACAGACCAACGCTGGGTGGAATCGCCGCCACTCTGACCCAGAGCCCGAACGGGCATCTGTGCCATCAATCTTCGCGCAGCCAGTTGCAAGCAATGTGTTGACTGGGTACAGTGCCGCTTCGTTTGTGCCAGGCCAAATGCCGTTTGGACATGTAGCCACGCCTGCGCAAGAAGCCCCACGAGTCTCTGAGGCTACAGTGTCAGTGTTCAGCCAAGTTCATGCCTTGAGGGCCCGCACTTCTGCGAATCAGAGTGCTTCAAGGGCAAGCGCGGCAGCGCCCACAGCTGCCGCAACTTCGTCAGTTCAGCCTGAACGCCCGTTCCAAGGTAGAGCTGTGTCGTGCACTGTATGCCTTGAAGATTTTTCCCCTGGTGATCATGTAGGCCGGCTGACATGCGGCCACACTTTCCATTGCATGTGCATAGGCGAACTGGCCATGCACAATCCCGGTGCCGAGGAGGAAGTGCTCAGTGTTGAATGCCCAAACTGCAGACAGCAGGTTACGCTGGACCATGCGTGGCATTACCCTCGTGTGCCTGTCACACCTCCTGATGCCAGTGAGCCGGCCACGCAGCCTGCCGTTGACCAGCAGGATGAAGCTGGAACCGCAACACCCCGTGCGTCGAGGGAAAGTACTAGTGAGTTCAGATCGCCTGAGAGCCAAGGTGCATATCCCTGGTGGCCAGTGCCATCTCTTGAAGCTGCTTCAGGTTCCGACGCATCTAGTGTGCAAGGCCCGTCATACCATACCTCTGTGCAGCTTGCAAGCGGCCGGGTTGGTCTCCTCATTGACCCCGGCTCTTATGGCAATTTGGTTGGTGAAGAGTGGCTAGCAGATGCAGTCGCTCGCATGGGCCGCGATCCCATGTTGGAATCGCGCACACAGCCGTTGCAGGTTGGAGGAGTAGGCCGAGGAGCTCAAATGTGCAACAACAATTGCAGACTGCCCATAGCCATCACCCGTGATGATGGTAGTACTGCTTCGGGCACCTTCAGTAGCCCTGTGGTCTCTTCTAGTGGATGTCCTGCGCTGTTGGGCTTGAGGAGCCTACAAGAGAACCGCGCGATTCTGGACATGAGTCGAAACGTGCTGCACTTCGCCGCGCCGGGCGAAATCACCATCAAGTTGCCGCCAGGCTCTGAGACCTATCAGCTTGAAGTTGCGCGCAGTGGCCATTTGCTTCTTCCTTGTGATGCCTTCCAGCCCAACGTAGAAGGAAGGTCGGCGGGTGAGCACCATCTGTTTGCAGATGATGCGCATGCTACCGAAGCCACTGCTCCACCACCCAAGCTTGAAGCCCAGGAGTCCTTTGCACAATCAGCTTTGCCTACGACCACTGCAGATGCTGAGGAGCAAGCGTGTGCTAATGTGCTCGCGCAGTACTCTTGGGATGCTGCGGTTGCTTTGCTGTTGCGCCTCACCGACGAGTGGAGCGCCCACGCTGCAGCACAGGATGGAAGGTTCTGTGAACGCCGAGGTGTGTCAATCAGCTTAGGTGCATTCGTGCATGGCGGCCGTGTTGGCACGTCACAAGCCACCGGTCAGCGCCCGCAGCTTGCTAAACTGTTGTGCCGCATGATTACTGAAAAGGAACCTCAGGCAACGTTCACCGCCATACAGATCCTTCGCGATGTGGAGTCACCTGTGCATACTGACAAGTACAACGCTGATCTAAACGTGTTGCTGCCCCTGAAGCTGCCGCGATCAGGTGGCAATCTTTGGCAGGAGTTGCGTGAGGGTGACCATGTTAGCAGCGCCATACAGATTCGGAGTTATGGTGAGCAGCAGATTGCAGGAGTGACCGTTCCGTTGCGTGAAGGTTACAGCACTGTGCTGGATCCTAAGCGCCGCCACGCCACGCAGCCGTGGAAGCAAGGAACTCGGCTTGTCCTGGCCGCCTTCACAGCAGGTAGTTTTCATAAGCTCCCAGCGTCAGACTGCGCCACTCTGGAAACGCTTGGTTTCCCCTTGCCACTGCAAGCGCAGCCATGTACGGCAGTGCCTGTGACCATGATTGAGCCTCATCCTTCACCACAAGCTCAAGCACATCAAGTTGCGTCAGCCACTTGCACAACGCAGGATCCGCCTCAGCAGTCTCCAGGACCTTCAAGGCCAGTCGTGGCTCCAGTGAATGCCGCTGTGCAGCGCGAGCCGCGCCAGCGGGATGGTTCAGGCACGCAGGTCCGGAGAAGCACGCTGTCGTTTGTCAAGCGTGTGCTTCTGATAACCTTGTATCACTCCACATTCACTGCGTTCCTTGAACAAGGCTGGGAGCCGACACGCCTTCGACCCCTGGAGCTGCTGCGAGACAACTTTGATGATGTGCTGTTTCGCTTGAAGTCGAATGAGTACCAAGCACTGTGGATTGACCTGGCAGAGCCAAAACATTTCGCAGGTCATAACCGCATGAATCAGGTGTGCGCCCGACTCGGAGTTCTGCTGCAATGGGCCGAGCGCCTTGAGGTGCCAACTGTGTTTTCGGCCTGCCGGCGAAACGCCTGGCAGCACACTGCTGTCGAGACATTACTGCATGAACGTCATTTTCACATTAGTTACCACAACTGGTGTGCCTATGGTGTTAAGGTTGCCCCTGGGATTGAGGCTAGTGCGGTGAAGCATAAGATGCTGTCATCAGTTCTTCTGCCCAGTGCTGAGTGTGCTTGCCCGAGGGGCACAGAGCACACCTATGACCTTGATATCAACCGTGGGCCCGGTGCCAGTCGTGTGCGAGCTGAGGCCGAATACCGTGTCATCAGCTCTGTCGTTTCATCCCTGAATGCGTTCGCATGCCGCGACCGTTCAGGGCCCGCAAAGTTACCTGACCCGTTGTGTACAGTTCCGTCAGCAGGCCAGGAATCGCTAACGTACGCATGTGAATGTTGTGGTCTTTTGCAGACTACAGAGTTTTGTTCGTACTGCGAAGGTGCATGTGCTGCCCAGCCAAGTCGGACACAATCCGTTAAGGCAGACATTGGAGTCATGCCACCGCAGTCAATGCCCGAGGCGGAGCCCGGCAATCCAAGCCAAGCATTTCCTACTGAGCAAAAGCTTCGTGTTCAAGAGCGGCGAAAGCAAGGCCTTACAACCATCGTCCGTAAAAAGGCCAAGACAGTGCAGCAGCACTTTGATGACTGTGGTGACAGCCTTGCCAGCCTTGACATGTCACCCCAGCAGCCGCAACGAGTTACGTATCTCAGCACTTGCTTCTCCGATGAGGACGACGACGATGCATATGACGATTATGTTGTGTCATTGCTGACACCGCAGCTGAATTCACTTGAGCTGCACAGCCTCAGAGGCGAATGCTCGCCCTTCCTTTTCTCAGCCGAGGCTGTGGATGTTGATGAGATGATCTGTATCTTGAGTGAAGAGCAGTTTGCTTCATGGGGCCCAGAGGTGTTCGAGGTTTGTGGTGGCACTGCTGAGAGTGCCCGCATTTGTGCACGCCGGCGTGTCGCAGCCGGCAGGAACTTCGACATTGTGTGTAGCACAAATCTCTTGAAAATCCCCACTCAAGAGAAGATCCTCAACTACATCACCGATGCCAAGCCTTTCGTTGTTGTGATGTCACCATGTGTGCCTGTGGACGCAGCCCACGCGCAAACTGCAGAGTTCTGTGGCAGGATTGCGGCCTTGCAGCAATCACACATGAGGTTTTTCTTATGCGAGCATCCATTTCCGTCTGCTGTGTGCGAACAGCAACCGTGGCCAGCCATCCGTGCATCTCCTGAATGCTGTCGTGTAGTGTTGCACCAGTGCCAACTAGGCCACGCTCTGAATGGACGACCTGTGTTGAAGCCGACTGAAATGGTCGCAAATGCCAGGCAACTCCTGTTGCCCTTTGCCAACCTGCAGTGCCCCGGACAGCACATCCATGCCAGCACCAGCAGTTATGCGGTGACGCACGCTGATGTATGGCCACCTGAGATGTGCAAACGAGTTGCAGTGGGCATCGAGGCACTTGCAGCCCACCTTTCTTGCACCGGGCCACAGCAGCTTGAAGCATGTTTAGGTCGCGCATTGCCGCAGCTGCATCAGGTGTTCCCCTCAGTGCAAGTGGGCACGGAGGAAGGAGCTGGAGAGGAAACGACAACATCAGAGCCTTGGCGAAAGTGCAAGGGATGCTTGTGGAGGCTGGAAAAGCATGATCCTCTTCACACTCGGGTGCGAGGCATCTGCAAACATCCTGATGTAGAAGAGCTCAAGTTCGAATGTCCCGGATGCAAAGCTCGAAAGCATCGATCCGATCCAATGCATACATTTGGGCCTGACTGTCGACATGTGTGCACGCAAGAGCGTCGGAGTGTGCGCAGGCGCCCCTACGCTAGGGTCCCAGCTGTACGCGAGCCAACTGCTGACCTGCGGGCATCCAGCCTCGGTCAGGAGGATGAGCAGCGCATCGAAGCTGAGGAACTTCAAGATGCAGTGCCAATAGAAGGTGAGCAGAGGGAGCCGTCAGAACCTGCTTCCGGCAGTCGTGATGGTGCCCGACATGTGCGTGGCCCCGATCATGGTCCCCGCCATATGCGCACACGTCAGGAAGCATCAGCGCAAACGCCAGTGCCAGCAGACTGGAGCTCATTTGATGTGCAAGCGTCTTTCAGAAGCCTGCGCCAATCTGATGAAGCAGGTCGCAGGCGTATTTTGCGAAAGCTGCACCTTAGGTGGTTTCATATCGGCACTGATAAGATGCAGAAGCTTCTGAAGTGCGCGGGTCTTGGGAAAGATGTTTTAGATCTGGTGCCATCCATTGTGGACACGTGCAGGGTCTGTCAACATTGGGCAAGACCGGGCACTGAGTCCAAGACTAGCGGTCGTATGGTTCTCGGGTTCAACATTGAGGTTGAAGGCGATCTTATGTTCTGCCGCCTAAATGGCCAGCAGCACATTGTGATGGTGCTCGTTGACCGTGGAGTCCGCTGGACCTGCACTGCTGTAGTCGAGAATAAGACTACCCCGTGCTTGTTGAATGCGCTTGATACAGCATGGATTGCAGTCTTCGGCCCAATGGGTGTTTTGATTTGGGACGGCGAAACGGGGCTAGATGATGATGAATCTACCACGTTCTTTCAGCTGCGTGGCATCACGAAGCGAACTGCCGCACCGAATCAACACACTAGAATAGCCGATCGTAAGATTGCGGTTCTTCGGGATACGGTTCATAAGCTTAATACCCAGCTAGTTGGCGACGGAGTCAATGTGCCATTTGTGCGAGTTGTCGCAGAGGCGACGTTTGCACTCAACGCCCTCACGAGCGTGAATGGCATGTCGCCTTACACTGCTGTTTTAGGTCGTGTGCCTGCAATGCTTCCCTGTGACGACAGCCTGTTGTCTGACCATACCGGGAGCGAGCCATCCAAGCACTCATTCCGGTTGCGTGAGTTGGCAGTTCAAGCCATTGCTGAAGGCACCGCCCGCGAGCGGCTGAAGAGAGCATTGCACTCCCAGGCCAAGCCATCTGCGTTGGCTGATCTTGACTACCGTGCAGGTGAGGTTGTTGATTACTGGCGAGAGCCTCTGAACAAGGATGTGTCAGGTTGGCGTGGGCCAGCAACGATAGTCGACTTGACTCGCCTAGAGCACGGACGCATAGGCATCCGCACAAATACTGATCAGATGCTCACATGCAGAGTGCAGGATGTCAGACGCAGTCTTGTGTACTTGACAGTGCCGCTAAGCTGTTTCTTCAGTTTTCCTGATTCCATCGAGTCCCCAAGTCACTCTGCAAATCAAGCGCAGATGTATGTCCAAGCTTTCGTGGACAGTCTGACACCCGGGACGGTCATCACACTTGGGCAGGTCAAGACCGCGGAAGGTCAGTGGGTTGTCACACCACAGACTGTCCAACACCGCTCGGTGCATGATGCAGCGATGTTCATAGCGGAGACTGTGTTCCAGTTGACAAATGTCGCATGCGTCCGGGTTGCAAAAGCAGTGCGAGCGCTGACTGCCCGCAATGAGTTCAATAACTCCATGCTTTTGTGGTGGACCTCGGACGGCAGTCGTCAAATCAGCTTCCTGCACAGTGAGGCTTCAAAGCTTGCTCTGCCCAATGTGATCGGTCAGAACTGGACGGATGCACGACTGGTGCAAATGCTGTGTCTTCCTGATGAAGAGGGCTGGGTCACGGCACGCAGGTGGTCGGAACCAGCCCCTGCAACGAATGCCGAGCCTGCAGGTGGCGAGTCCCCAGAGTCAGTGCATGAACGATTGTCCACAATCCCTGAAGGGTCCAACGAGTCCAGTCCGAGTCTTGTGTCTTGGACCCAACTGTGTGACACCTTCGGTGATGCCATTACTGAAGAAGATCGTGTGCATTTGACCGAAGCGTACCTCGCAAGTGCGAGCGAGGAGGCGCCAGGAGGAGGCCACCAGCACGCCTGTAGCGAGTCTATTCCAGACTTGACGTCGTGGGTTCAAAGCACCGACATGTGTGAGGCTGAGATCCCTGCCTGGGCAGATGCTTCCAATCCGGAGCAGACCCAGCACTTCCTGAACGAGGAGTTCAGTGAAGTCCTTAGCTCCTGCAATTGCGATGCCAACGACTACACTGCTCTTGATGCCGACGACACAGGTGTTTTTGTTGCCATTGAGGTGTATGGTAGCGAATGTAAATACCTTGAAGGGCTGCCTCGACAGCCCATGGCAGATGAGCATGCAGAGCTACGTTTTTACGAGGCTCACACCAGGAAGGTAGTGATCGAAAGATCAGATGATTTGCTGACGCAAGATGAAATCAGGCTTCACGCACCCGAAGTCACGCAGGCAATCATTGACGAACTGAAAACATGGCAGGGGTTCAAGTGCTTCAAGAGACGCCCCAGAGCTGAAGCACCCTGTGTGATTGATGTTCGTTGGGTTTTCAAGTGGAAGTTTGTCAAGGAAGTGAGGAAGATCCGAGCCCGCTTGTGCCTTCGGGGTTTTAAGGAGTCTGGTTCTGATGATCAGTCGAATTACTCTGCAACGGCCACGCGCTTCAGTCAGAGAGCGCTAGTGTCAGAGTGCGTTCTCCGTGGATGGGTGCTTGCCTCATCAGACGTTCCAAAGGCTTTCTTGCAAGGCGTGAGCTATGACGAGTTAGCTCAGGCCACCAACCGGCCGAAGCGTGATGTGAGTTTTGACTTGACTGGTGAAGCTCTTCATTGCCTACGGCAGATGCCAGAGTTCAAGGGGTTTGATCCAAGGCATGAAGTGTTGCACTGCCTTAAGCCGGGAACTGGCTGCCGTGATGCGCCAAAGTGTTTTTCGTTGAAGCTGCGAAAAGCCACGTCGGAGTATGGCTTTGTCAGCTCCACCGTTGATCCGGAGCTAGAGCTGCTGTTCAAAGCCGGTGAGCTGCTGATGGCGATTCTGAAACATGTCGATGATCTGAAGATGATCGGCCCTAAGGGAGAGATCATTAGATTCGTTGACTACCTGTCTGGCATCTTCGGGAAGCTGGACATTGAGTTCCATAAGTTCACGTTTTGTGGAGTAGCTCATGAGCAACACGACGACGGCAGCGTCAGTTTGGATCAAACAAAGTTTCTGGCAGCTTGTAAGCCGATGATTGCCCCGAAGCTAGCACCAACAGAGGAGCTACCAGAGGACATACGGCGTCACTTCTTGAGTTTGCTGATGACCATTGCATATTCACTGATCACTCGCCCGGACATTGCAGTGATTGTGACAGCGCTTCAGCGCGAGTCTCACAAGGCACTGTACGTGCATGTGACCCGTATCAACACGTTGTTGAAATGGGCTCAGGCCAATCCACGAAAGATCACATATCCGGTGATGCGTGACTACCCGGACGCGTTAGTGCAGATATCTGATTCCTCGTACCGTGCCAAGGCTGAGGACGGGTTGTCAGTCAGAGGTCTGGTGAGCGTCAGGGCCTGTCTTAAGGACATCGATGCCGGGTGCAAACAGACAGAATGTCACATGATCGACTTCGTCTCAAAAGCTCAACGGCATGTTACCCGATCAACCTTCAGCGCCGAGTTGTTTGCAGCCACTGATGCGACAGACAGTGGCCTACTGCACACCATTGTCTTACATGAGCTCAAGCATGGAGTGCTGAGTTCCGGCGATGCGCGCTTGATGATTGAAGGAAGCAAGCCTTGTTCAGTGCACCTTTGCCTCGTGGTCGATGCAAAGTCAGTGAGTTCAGCAGCGACAGCACCAAACCTACGCATACCAGCTGAGCCATCCTTGTTGCTTCATGTGAACTGGGTACGTTCGCTTCTGATGCGTGGTAGACTGCACCGCTTGTTCTGGTGCGACACTCGAGTGATGATTGCAGATGCCATGACTAAAGGAGCAGTTACACGAGCCCTGGTTACAGCAGCGATGCGTGGCTTACTGGAAATGTCCATACCGTACAGTCGCCAAGAGATCGGTTGAGAATTCCGCAAAGTTACCTGACTCGTTGTGCATTTGCCATAGGCATGTTCAGGAGACATCCATGTCTTGATGTCAGAGTTGAGCAGAAGCTACATGACGCCAAAGGCTGTTGTACCGTAGCTGTGAGATCTCAGGACTTAGTTGCATGCTTGGAAAACGAAGTGAGCCCCATTGCTGATTTGTTCTTTTAGCTAGGGTTCCCGGTGCATGGTTTAGGGTATTGGTGTTAAGTGGTTTAAGGATGTGGAGTTTGCGGGTGCAGGGAGAACCAGGGATGTTCCTGCAGTTCTACTACAGATACTCATGGAAAAAGTTAGGACTTGGTATTAATTTTTATGCTGAGGGTTTTATTTTTATGCTGTGCACCTTCCCGTCTCCATTGACCTCCATGTCTCCATCCCATCGTCGATAGGTGTTGTTCTTATGCGCATGGAGTCTCCTTCTATGCTTGAGTTTTTTCCTTTTTATGCTGCTGGTCTCTATTTTTATGCCAATCTGACCATTTTTTATGCGGCCCCCTTTCCTTGTTATACTTGATGGGCCGGCTCGCAGGGTGGGGAGGCCTGGGCCCCATTGCCTCTTTCCATTTTATGCTTGAGACTGGTGTCAGTTTTATGCCAATCTGATTTTTTTTTATGCTGCCCCCCCTCTCCCCTTATGCTCTATGGGCCAGATGGAGGGGGCGAGGGGCTGGGTTCCATGGCCCATTTGGGCGAGCCGGACTTTTTTTAATGCTGCCCTCCCCCCTCCTCCCTTCCTCCGTATGGTTCACGGGCCAGATGGAAGGAAGCGCGCTTTACAGCGCTTGCTGGAAGCCGAATGTCGCCTTTGCGCATCAACTTCGTGTTTGAGGGGCGCATATGGGTTTTGTGGATTTCCGGGGTTCTGCTTCCAGAGCGAAAGCCTAGGTTTTGCAAAGCTATGGCAAATGTGGTTGAATTGTCGCACGTGCGTTTATGGAGATTTTTCGCTACCGAATTTCGCCCTTAAGCACGCAGTGGCAGGCCTCCAGGCGGCCGTGTAATTACTTTAGAACGGCACGCAGCTGGAATGAAAAACCATGGAATGCCTTGGGAAAAAACGAAAAGTCCAAAATAGAATCTCGCAGGTCCTATAGTGTTTTGGCAGATTTGGACATCGGCTTCGTGTTTGAGGGGCGCAGGTGGTTTTTGTGGGTTTCCCGGTTTCTGCTTCCAGAGCGAAAACCTAGGTTTTGCATAGCTACGGCAAACGTGGTTGAATTTTCGCACGTACGTTTATGGAGATTTTTCGCTACCGAACTTCGCCTTTAAGCAGGCAGGTCTCCGCCACCCGCTGCGAGAGCGCCGCCCCGCGTAGCTTCTCTGCGTCACTCGGCAAGAGAAGTCGCGCAAACCTATCCCTGCATTTCTGCACCGGCGCCGTTAAGCTGGCATGCCAGCAAGGCGCACCTCAACATCGGCAGAAGTTGCCCCCTCACTTCTGTCGCGACCACTGCGCGCACGAACTCCTCCCCCAGCATCATAGATGCTCCGAAGACCTTGCTAAAGCAAGCCAAAACTTTGACCGCGGGAACCGCTCACCTTCTCCCCCGCCGTACAACAAAACGTACTGTGCCAAGAAACCCGCGTATTTGGCGCACGCGGGTTTCCCCAGCAGAAGCTGCTCCAACGCAGCGTCCTTGCGCTCTTCCTCGGTCAAGCAGCCATGAACAAACTTGCAATAAAAGTTTGCATGCACTCCACCTCACTCAGCACCTTCGCAGCAGCGTGCGCCGTGTTGTAAGACTGCTGGAATGCAGTCGCCAGCTCTGGAAAGCTCGCCTCAACGGAAGAGGAAATGATCAACCATTCTCAGCCGTCGCGAAGTAGCACGTTGACCGGGTGGTCCGGCTCGCGCCCCGCCACAAGGGCGCCCAGGCTGCTGCCGTCCGCGGCACGCGCGCCTGTCACGGTCGCTTTCAAAAAAGCCGCTGTGTGCGACCCCGCCACACGGTGAGAAACCGTTCCGTTCGGGTCACGGGCGCCAGCATTCCCTCTGCTGCCGCGACTACGCTCTCGTTGGCCGCGTACTGCGACTCGCGCAACGCGGCATCGCTGCTCATCTCGAAGCAAACGCTGCCAGCTTCCAGGAGCTCCCGCCGCAGCCCGGCCTCAAGCATCACTCTGCCGTTGGCGTGTGCATCGTGCGGCTGCGCTCGTGAGCACCTGCACCACTTTTCCACCTTGGTCCCCAGCTCCTGAGAGCTCTCCAACAAGGCCGCGACTTCTGCACGTGTGCCTGGCTCCATGCCGCCAACCGCTAGCTTCGCTAGACTTACGTGCTCTGCGGCGTCCCTATACCTATAGGTGATGCTGACATGCTTCTTGGCCTGCAGCCTGTGTGTGAGTTCTGCTTGCTGCTGCTGCTGCTGCTGCTGCTGCCGTGCTGCTGGTGTTTCTTGCACACGTCCCCGGAGCACGCCGCTATATATGGCCAATGCACTGCCGCCATGACCTGTGCATGCTTCCTGGACTTCGAGCCCTTCTATTCATGCAGCAACCAAATGGAATGCAATTCGCAAGCGGAATTAGACATGAAATGCCGGCATGTCCATCAGAAAAACACTGCATGTCGTACTCGCAACTTGCTTCTGCCTCACATCGGCACTGAAAGATCTATAAAGCGTCATCCAAGGAAATGACACTTATAATTGTCTGATAAGTGGTTATGCAATCCCGGTTATAACCACTATAGGACTTGTAATTTTTATGCTTAGCCACTCACATAACGTATCATAACCTTTTGTATAAACACCATAAAAGTATAACTTTAATATAAGATCATATAACTTCTATAACCTTTTATCAAACTTATAACAGTTTACTACTGACTTAGAACTAGCTTACTAACAGGTTACTACCAGCTTGTCATCCTTTGCAATCCTTCTACGTCATTAGCTAAAACCCGGTCCATTAAAGTAACCCCTAAACGATGACGATGGGACCGCTGCCGCTGCTGCCGCTTACGATATTACTACCTAACGAGCTAGGTGAAAGGAAAGGCTAGGCAGCCCCCGCCCCCCCCCAGGGAGCATAAAAAAAACCTAGGTCAGCATAAAGGAAGGAGCCACAGCATAAAGAAAACCCCGGTCAAGCATAAGAAAAAGCAGGTGTAGCATAAAAACACAGCCGGCCACGGGTCCAGCATAAGAAAAAGCGGGGTATAGCATAAGAAAAAATTCGGTGTCCAAAAAGTTAGGTATGTTACAGTCCCTGGGTTCGCATGTAGTAGATCTTTAGGATTCAATCAAGCGGGCTTCCATTCGGGCTACCTTTCGTTTTATTGATACGGTTGATGGACAAAATCCTGCATTACCCATTATAAGGAACATACCACAGTTCCCATAGTTTAGGGTCCTGAAGGTCATGCAGGATTTTGTCCATCAGCAGTATTAGTTGTGGGTTTGATGCTTTCGGGCTCAGCAAGTTTTGGGGCTCCTACCCGGCTGCAACCCGGAAACTCCAAAGCCCCTTAACTAAAGGATATACCTTAAATCATAGTAGGAATCCTATTACAATTGAAGGTACATTCCTTAATTAAGGGGTTTTGGAGTCTCTGGGAACTGTAGAGCGTGCTTGGCTTTTCCAGGTGACTTCCATCTGCTAGTTGCCAAGAGCCCGGAGCCTCCAAAACCCCTTAATTAAGGAGTATACCTTAAATTATGTTAGGATCCTTAATATGATTTAAGGTATATTCCTTAATTGAGGTGTTTTGGAAGCTCTGGGAATCACTCATATCCGCCGCCGTGACTCCGCCACTCTACCCTAAACCTTGGGCCCTAAACCCCAAAGAACTCCCTAAACCTTAGACGGAGCTCCATCCCAAAGCCTCAAAAAACCCCAAACCCCTAAACCCTAAACCACAATTTAATCCTAAACCCTAAACGCTAATTAACCCTAAACCCTCAAGCCTCAACGCAAGAAGTCCTGGCTGCTGGCCGCACGATTTGGACTTCGATTGCCGTCCTCCTGCACGACCATGGCTTGACTTTGGCCGACGCGATTCATGAAGCAAGGGCACCAGGCAAAACGAGAAACTTCCGCTGACTCGCCAACTTCCTTGACCAGCGCCCAGCGATCGGAGAGTACCACAACGCGCTGGCGTCTGCACTCCATTTCCACCCTCATCGGGACAGGTGACAGCGAACCCAAGATGCCGGCGCGACCCGCGAGCTGGGATCCCCCTGCGAAAAAACCCACGCAACCATGCTATTCTATTGCCGCTGTGCCGATTCTCGGAAAATCTCTCAAGGTCAACAGGAGCCAGAGAGCGACAGCTGGATTCGCTATGAATGTGAGGGTGTTAACAAGTATCAAAGCGGGAATAGTGGTACGGCGGTCCTGCTCTCAAGCTCGACCAATCACATCTACCGGGATCGACAGTGTTCAGCGGTTTAGGGTTTAGGCCTGAAGCCCCAAACTGATAAGAGCAAAGCCAAACCAAAAGCCCGAAACTCTGAATTCACTCTAAGGCGAGTCTCGAAGCCTTGAAAATCCTAAGCCGAGGCTTGGTCTCCCCGAGTGGGCCCTTTTACCCTTCTTGTGGTCTTAGATTCCTCATAAAGCTGCCCAATGCTAAACAGGGTGCCCCGTTTTCACTCTGCCACTGGGGAGCCTAGGAGGAAAATCTCGTCGGCATCTAACCGCCCATCTTTGGATGGAGGGTTTGGAGCTGAGTGGCTTAATATAGGGGCCTTCACAATTAGAATAGGGTTTGGGGGCCATTATACTATAGTTTTCATAAGGAACCACCAAACTAGTATTGGTAATTATTTAGGCCCCTGTATTCGAGCTTAGGGTCAAGTCAAGGGCTAGGCCAGGGTCGAAAACCCTCCGCGAAGCTCTCAACCCTCAAACCCCGCACCCGTAGCCTTTACTGTAACCCCCTAAATCCCGAAGCCTTAAACCCTCTCTAAACGTTCTGAAACCTTCCACCATGTGAAACCCGCCAAATCCTTCTATATAACACTTGCCAAAACT